AAATGCACTCTTGTATGCTTGATGTGTTATCACACCGCAGAATGAAGTAGAGAAAAATCATTATCCTTCATTTCAGGTTCCCTCCCCCTCACCCCCTTCCCCTCCCAGATGCACTTTATTGTGAAAATAAAGAACTTCCTGTTTCTTTTACTTAAAATCAATCAATCAATCAATCAAGCTCTTCTGAATCCCTCTGTTCTGTCTCACCAGGGACCAGGAGCAAGTGGTCCTTGCTGCTCCTTCTGGAAGGCAGAACACAGTAAAAAGCTAGGTTTTCCTATAGCTTGGGAGACTAAAGGAGACTAGAACATCTCTTCTGCAGGTGCTCCTGCTACTGAGAAACCCAAGAGCGCCACACAGCTTCTAGTTCAGCAATGCACACATCCTACTGCTTCTACTTATAGAAGACACTTACATGATCCCTCTCCTGCTGTCACAGCCTATTTCCATTTTTTAAATCTATTTTCACAATGCTCCATGAGGTAGGAAAGCACTATTATTTCTATTATGCAAGTGGAAAATTAAGGCAAAGGGAGAATGACTTGCTTAAAGGTCATACAGTATCTAGCTGAACCTCTCCCAAGATCCAAGCTAGTATCCTAACTGTTCACCCTTTCTTTTCTTATATTATCCACAGCAAATAGTCATACTAGGAACCAGAGGATGTTCCTCAAATATTTTTCTAGCTTAAAGGTATTTGGCAATATTTGTTTACAATTTCTCAAACCCATGTAAAAAATAGCAAAGTTCAATAGCAACTCAAACACTGTTTAACAAAAATCAGAAAAAGTAAACTAGAAATTTGTCTATTAGAGAATACACATAAAAGTGTACAGCCTCACCTTCCATCTGTTTCCACATTCATTACAGACAACAAATGTTGTCATTGGTTCATCAGCACTACGTGTTTGAACCTAAGTAAAGTGGTAAAAAAAAAAAAAAGGGAACATTTTGAACAGATTCATGGTGATATTACTTGACTACCATTGGATGCAAAGTTCTTGTCCCAACCTATAAAAATTTATTCACACTACTTATTGTATTACAATCCAGTTTTACAAGACAGTTTACAGACATTATGCATTATAATACCCATATTAGCAATTAAGTTTTGCAGGTACTTTTTTTTTTCAGTTTTAATTTTTCCCCCCAGAAGTATAACTGCACAGTTTTAGAAAACTGCAGTTTTATTTTTCTCTTTCTACCCCTCCCATGATAAAGTGTCCTAAAAATATCATGATTTAGACAAGTGTTTACATCAAAACACCTTAGAGATACTTTATTAATAACTTCATAAATCAAAAGCTATGCTCTGCTGCCTTTGTGAAATCAACGTAAGCTTTATATTATCCTCCTTTCTGCACATAACCCCCTACTAAAATAAGTACAATTTTCATGTACAGAAGGTTTATAAAACAGGTTCTGTGTTAATAAGCCTGCAATTAAATACTAACATTCAGAAGCATTCTTCATATAAGATATGCTACCACCAGACAGAAAGAGCATTCAAACACAGTGTAAACACTGGCTATACTGGCTAATCTCCATTCACCATAATAATCTTTAAAAAAAATTAGCGAAAAAACCCAGCATTACTCCAATGGAAAATTATGATTCAAAAAAAAAAAAACAAACAAAAACACCCCCCAAAACCCGGTAGTTTGTATTACATTCTCTGCTTGAATACTGCATTAAATAACTTCATTGTCCTCAATGCCTATTACCGAAGCCATAGTATCAAAAGATGCAACCTTAAGCACAACTCTTAAATTGTATCCATGTATCAGATTCCTTGAGATTTTACCACCACCTCAAAACTGAGATATGGAAAGACAATGTAACAAGATGAGTGCTTTCTCCACAAAAACAGATCTGTAACTAGAAATTCTACACTACATACTTATTTGTAACTTGTAGAAAAGCTTTATAATTAGTTAACTAATATTACTGTGCTAATTTCCTTTAGCCTAAATTGGAACCAAAAAACATTTAAAAGTAACTCAAGTAAAGCGTACTATAAAAAAATCATCATCTCCTTCAGCTCTCATATTATATATTTGATATAACTGTTAAATACCAGAAGACTTCCTTAAAATGGAGGCTCATCCTGGACCAAAAGGGAGAAGCCTCAATTATTACATACCTGCGTGTAAGTACAATTCTTCTTTTTACACTTGCCACATGTGAACAAGTCAGTCTGGGTGCCTCCAGTCTTAGCCATCTGGTGTTCTCGGATAGCTTCTTTGGTCAGATTTTTACGCATCTCTTTAAGCTCATCACTTGCCATTTCCTGATAGGAAAAAAAAATAGACTGTCTATTATAACTTTTTCAATCTATTGTTGGGGTTTTTCTTACAACGTTAATGAATTATTGATAGCATCAGCAATTCAGAACCTCAAACTAAATACAGTTAATTTTGAAAGTATATATGATCATACTGAGCATTCAATTCTGCTTTAAAAATTACTGAATATCCTATCAAGCAGTCAAGTCATTATAAGAACTTTGTATCTTATACTTTGGCTAAACAAACCAGGGTAAGCTTCAAATGCAGCTATTAAAATTTTACAATCATTTGCCAAAGAAACTGTACAAACTTATGTCTCTTCACCCCTTTAGTGTCCTAGATGATCAGGAAGTTACCCTCAAAGTTAAAAAAGAGTTACATGAATGCATCTTTGAACAGTGATAATTGAGAAAGGTGATAGACACAGCATAAAGGGGAAAAGACAGGCATCGGGAGCAAAATAGAAGGTGTTCTCTCTAGGTCAAAGCCTCATATCATTTTCTGGCAGGAATAAAGAAGATAGAGTTATCATGTGTAAAGTTTAAATTTACAAAGCCAAAAATAGCAAAACCAAAGCTGGTTAGGTTTTTCTCCCCCTTTTTTTAAAATCATGAAACAGCATAAAAGTTTTCTGCAGGTCCAAACCAATACTCAGTGTCTGCAAAACTCTTATTTATTCTGAGAACAATATTCAAATGTACATAGTCTCATAATGCAAAATGAAACCTCCTATTTGTAGCTCACAAATTGAAGTTCAGCTTAGCATGGCAGCAATAAAAAAAAAAAAATCTCAGGCTTGTACATTAACCTGCACAACAATTTTGCATTTCAGATTAACTCAATTTCTAAAGATGCACCAAAACTTGCCGACAAGGCATAGAAGGGGCACAGAGAATAAACTGCCCTCGAAATCAAGACTAACACAGCCAAGACATGCTGTTATCTGTTGCACAGAATAAAGAAACCAGAACTTTAGTTCCTATTGCCAATGGCCAGCACCATTCCTTAGTACTAAATATCACATTGGAATTCTCCAGTATTTTATGCCAGCAGATTCTATTCTCATCCTCATTCAAAGCACAGGGCCTAGGTTGGGAATAACAGTTAAAGATTATCTTAAAAAAATAAAACAAAATTATGACCCATAGCTGTCATGGATTGAGCAAGAACTTGATACCTTGGTGCAAACCTTAAGACATATATATCTTTATATATAAAAAGTGCCACAGACAGTCATTCCAATCTCTAAATCCTATAAAAAAAAAGGCTATTTTGGGGAACTCAGTTATGATTCCAAAAAAGGTTGGCAATTTTTAAATTCAGGACTCAAGTGAAATGGTTCTCCACATGGTATCTCTCTCCACATATTTTGTTTTAATAGTTAATTTTAATGACATAATATAATAAAAGGTAGACAAACTGCAATTTACAAAACACTTAATATAAAATAATAAACCCAAGTAAGAGATGTAAATGCTCAATTTGCAGAAAACTCAATACATTTATCTCGAGCCTTACAAGACTACATTAAATGTTTTTACATAACCAACTCATTCAATTAACTCCCTTGATTTTTTCCTAATCTGCAGGATTTTAATTTTCATTTACCTACTCAGTTGCTTCATATTTTTGTATATTGTGTGCACAAGGAAAAGTATTCCTATCTTCCCCTCAATGCTAATGAATGTTATCACTGTACTTGCATGGTTCCTAACGTTTCATTTAATATAAATCACGGAGAGGAGATTAAAATTAATATCAACAGATCTTTAGCCACTCAAGTCAAATTATTTTCAGTTCAAGAAATTAATTTAAAATCCAAATGGAGTCCTTAGAGCTTGGCAGAGCTGCTGACTAAACTGCAGAAAATCCCAAGTGGCAAAGGAATGACTTGGCAGATCAGGGTCAGCATCAGGACTCCATCGTGCCTCCCCTGCACACCTAGGTAACATGTCCCAGCACCACCCCCTAGAATTTAAAGGGTACATGTTGCAATAAAAAAAAAAAAAAAAAGTTAAATGTATCCAGTTTCTGTGCATGCCCCCTGCAGCACCTGCACATTTGAACTGCCTTTAAATGCATATTCTAACTGCCTTTTCCCTTAGGTCTGCATTATATTTTTAAGAATTAGCCTGTTATCCCTCCATGAGCTACACTTTCAATATAACTCCAATTATACAAGAGCCCTATGCTCACCTTTGGTTACTTCTTGACCAGCTTTTACATTTCATACAATTCTTACAAAACTTACAGAAATGTTAAATCACATAAAAGAGTACTCTTTGCTTACCTCAGCTGTCATTTTTGCAAACATGTCTGGAGGTATATTTCCACATAAGACATTTTTTCTTAGATTAGGATTCTTCGGATCCTTGAGATTTGCTATCCTACTTCGTACCCTATTTTTGTATTTCATGTCAGTGTTGTTTAATTCTTGGAATATAGGTGCGTTGGACTTAAGGAACATAGCATAAGCAAGTAAAACAGGGCACATCTATATGTGATGCTCCAGTGCCGTAGCAACACACTACGGCGACATAACGCTGGTGGGCGCAAACCATGACACCACAGCTACACTGCCATAACAATGCGCTCCCTCAGTAGTGTTGCTATGGTGACGTACCAGCTAAAAATACGCGTGCACCACTGGGACAGCGCAGTATGGGCTGTTACTGTGCCATCATTTAGTACTTCCAGCACTGTAGGGGCACATGTAGACGCGCCCACAGAGAACAAAATACATTACTTTATTGCTTTACTTAACACTGCCCAAAAAGTTTGCATTTGCTGATTTGTTCCTCTTTTTACTAACTGTTGAAATGACTATACTGATTTCTCTGTTCAACCCAGACCAAGATTATCAAGACAGTAAGAAGATTAATTTTGTTGAGCACCTAGTGACTGCAGTGTGAGCTCTTTGATCTCCCCCTCTAAAGATCCTGTATTAGGCTTCTGGAAACCTCCAATAAATAAAAAGCCAGAACCCTGAATTCTGCTGAGAGGTTGAATTAATTTTAAATTAATGCTGCATTTGGTAACTGAGCACAAAGTACCACAACAGAATTTTAAAATTTAAATGAAGCTCCCAAAAGTTTTCAGTGCAAGTACTATACTCCTTTTGCAAGTCAGGCTTTAATTATAAAAGGTACATCAGCAGGACAGTAGGGTAGATTATGATTAGATTATTGCTATCTTTATAGTATTTGCTCTGCTGACGGTGAAGTTATTAGAGTAAAAACAGGATTAAACACTTCAATATTCACATGATTTTTCACAGTAAAACTTCAGCCAAAATTATGGGAACATAAAAGTGCCTAAAATTATATCTGCCTCTGGTGCTGCTAGTAGCAGGAATAAAAATATCAGCTGTAAGAATTTACATAATTTGTTGTTTGTACGTGATTTAAACTCCCTCATTCATGCAAAACTTCACATATCTTGGCTGAGCAGAATGAGGATGCTTTTCTTTTAAATGGAAACAATGTTGCATGGACAACACAGGTGTAAAAAAAAAAAAAAAAAAAAAAAAAAAAAAAAAAAA